ACTGGCCACATGGACAGAGCAGGCAGAATGAGTGATCATGGCAGCGCTGGGGGGGGGACAGGCTCCTGTACGTTAACTGTACTTAAGCCTTCCCCTAGCTGCCGAGGGTTTGAATCCCCCGGGATCGCCGATGTTTTTACAATGTGTTCAAATGACCTTTTCAAATAAGTAACCCCCTTCGCCACTATTAACCGAATACATTGCTCGAATCGTGGATTTGTGGTCATATAATCGGCAAACGAACAATTCTTGCACGTTTTTTGCACTTGGCAAACTTCATACACGGATACACTTGAGAAGAAGCTGTTTCGATCACCGGAATCGTAATTTGATTAGTCTCAGCTTTTGAACTCTTGCGAGAGTCTATCGTTAGAGATAAAACCGTCAACGGAGGCAAGCGACATTTATAGGGGGAAGGGGCCAATTTACCACCATAGGGGCGGAAGTGACATCATTGTTTACATCCATTTCACCGGCGTTGGCACGAGACGTCTTGCGTAGGAAACTTGTGGAGCTGTACGATGAAACCCAGAGTTCATTCAAAATTGAACATCTCATGAGACTCTTCGAATTTCGCAAAAAGACCTACTACACCTTTGCTGAATAGACTTATAAACAAATCAAGTGAACTCCGATGGGCTCTCCAATTTCCGGTTTAATAGCAGAATTGGTCCTACAAGAACTGAAAAAGATTGCCTTCACCCAACAGCCCCTAATATTTTGGCGTCGTTGAACTGACAACACGTTCGTTATCGTCAAAAGGAACACGCTGCATTCGGAAGTAGTGTATCCCATACCATGTCTAAATTGTCCCGTAAATTACACGGGACAGACTGGACGCATGCTGGGTTCACGCATACACGAACACAAATTGACTGTTCGACGGAATGATGCATTTTTTCAAGTGGCTGCTCACACCTACGAGACGGATCACGAGTTCAACTTCCTAGCTGCGAGGATAATTGCCCACACAAACAGTAAGACGGGCCGAGGGCTGATTGAAGCCTGGGCGTCAGATGACACCTCAGTTAACCGATGCCTCGGGCTGGCCTCCGCATATTTGGCCCTGCGCATTTATCTCCAGATTCACGGCACTAGTGGTCCTGTCCCTGCCTCCCTCCCTCCCCTCCCTTTCCCCGCCCCTTTGATGGTTAATTGGCCCCCTCCCCCTG